GACAATAGACACACATTCCGATCATTCATTCACAAACGGTGATGGTTTGGTGGATTTACAAATCCTGCTTTAAACGTATCTATGTGGGAAAAATTACCTTCGGAATCGCAAAAAGGCGACGAGAAACAGTTTTATTTGTCCACACACTATACAGTATTCCATTTTCCTGGTGTATTACAAATCACAACAATTCAAAACACAACAAAACTTCCATTTATAAACACTCTGATAACAAACTTATTGAAAAACTAAAAAGAATCACCAAACACATCAAACAGCACTACAAAACTTCCGAACTTTCGAGCACAGTTTTGGAGGAATGAAACTTTGACTAACCGAAATCTGAGAATATTCATAGCGCCAAAATCGAATATTAAATTTTGACACATATGACAATCAATGTCAACAAGGCAAAATTCCTATGTTACCGACCCTTATTGGTTGTGTTCTATGCTAAAATCGATCGACACATTCGTTCCAGAAACAATTGAAGAGTTGCTACACCAGTCAATTATAGCCACCTTAATACCTACTAATCTCCTTAGGCAGTCATATCGGTTAGGCATTCATGAATATATGATGCGCCATTGAATTATTGTGGTATTACAAAGGCAATGGTCGAGGTTTGTATTGACCTCTCGGTTGAACTAATGAATGGTCTGTGTTGCTCTCGGTTGACAATTGAAACTTTACTTGAACTCATACTGGGTTTCTATGATTAGATATAGTCAGATGACACATATCTCCCTTATAATTAATACTGGTTAAAATTGTAAAATTGAATCAGGTTTTCTTTTACTTTGGATCATTGGATGACATAAGCTGAGCCTTGACTCTTGAGCAGTTATTCAGAAAATAATGAATGTTGAAAATTTGTGGGCTTCTATTCTATTTTGTATTGTTTCTTAAGTAGGCAGGTCACCTAGATGTTGTTCTTACTTAAGGCTAGTTGCTATGGTTAGATTAGTCAAAAACTGATGACACATAAGGTTTTTAATGGCCATCGGACCAAATAACAACAATCACGACAAAAAATACAGAATTGGCGTGAGTACTTTCATTTTAAAGGGAATTCGTACAAGGTTGGTAGAACTGATTATAATTTGTATAGGAAGGTTGCCTCGATCGATAGTGCGGCAAGGGGGGAAACGGTCACTCGTGACGTCACAGGCAGTAAGATAAGATGACAAGTTGTCAACCTTGAAGCGAAATGTCATGAAATGTTGTTTACCAAATAGAGTATACAAACATGATACAAACTTTTTGGTCTGCTCAGCATATTTATATTAATTATAAGTAAGTACCATTATAAAATATGGATATTTACATATACTTCTGTATAATACCTTCAATCTTCGAAATGAGAAGGCAATTTTGAATGGATCAGTAGTACAGAGAGGAGTACCTGTCTGAAATTTTGTTCCAGGGGCTATTTAACAGGTCGTGGTACCAGGTATGTGTGTTTTGAGGTATGGAGCATGATTATGGAGCTAGTGATTACTTATGCATTGATTATAAACCTACTCATCCTATAAATATTCCGCAAATCAGATAATGTGAACAAGAAACTACAGAAAATATAAGAATAATCAACTGATGATCCAGAAGTAGTAGCAGTGGACCAATATTCGTACACAACAGATCACTTATTTTATCAATATAACTCTGTATTCTGAAAAATTAACAAACTTTCCTAGATACCTATAGAAAATACAAGAGGAAATAGTATTTCATTGTTTGATTATATTGTAGTCAAAAACAGAGCAATTGATCGAAGTATTTGAGCATAAAAAAATAACAAAATATGATTCTGAACAAAATTAATGAAAAATAACACTACTATTATAAGTGAACCTATCATAAAGGATAGTTCAAGGAATCTCTCAAATAAACATAGCTCCTCTTCGTTGGGTAACGTACTCTTGCTCAAATAATTATCTCAACTTGAAAACACGTGTGATATCTTCTGATGTCCATTTTACCCGTTCAGCAAGAATCTCAACATTCACAACTGGTCTGGTTCTGATCATTTTTCCAAACTTCCATACTTATGGTGTTTCTCTTGTTGTATTTGGTATTATTGATGGGATTCCTACCTTGAGTTTTCTTCTCTTTGGTGTGTGATTCAGCAATTCTGCTTGTGCCGTTCAAAATCCTCGGCATCGAAATGGGCAGAACATATTCGCCAAGTTTTGGTATTAAATGAATTGAAATTACGTCCACAAAATTGAATGCTTTTCTCACGAATAGACTCATCTTATGGAAATTAATGGAAACACAAACTAAATTCACTAGTCTTATTACACTTGTACGAATTTTAACAAGAAGTGACCGAACAAATTATCATTTTTACATTTTCAAGTTCAAAATGGTTCAAATATTCGAAAATACTGACAACTGTCAACTAACTCAATACATGCGCCGGCGTACATATCATACACGAAGTGAACGAGAGTGCTACACTTTTCGTGCAAAAGAAAGGGCCTATTACGTCATGAGTTACTCAAGGTTACTCGCGGGGTGCGATCGAGGCAACCTGTCATCAAGTTTGGGCAAAACAAAAGCGCATCAGTGCAAACACCATTTAAATTATAGACATGTCAGTTACCTACTTGCTTATGTTGGTCGAACTGTCACAAATCATTTCAAATAATAACAATTTATGATTTATTCAGCAATCAATATGAATAAACTTTTACAGTAAAATGCCGAGTAAAATGCTTAATGAATGATTACTTACCACCTACCTACTTATTGGTTTATTTCCGGTATTCAACATGGTCGCTACTCGATTCCATGGATATCCAGTTGCAACAATAATAAATGACTCATATGACCACTACCGGTGGAATTACATACATACTCACCAACAGAGTCGTGCATTCCAAATTTACCCATGTAAAAATGCTGAAATTAAGATTCTTGATTAACCACTATATCAACACATTCCAAATAAGAATATTGTAGGTGGCGCTGCCATCGATAAAATGTTCGCACTGGCCCAATGGCGAAATAAAAATGTAGCGCCTAATTATCTATAATGATTGCTGTCCACTTTGAGTTTGAGTTGGTTCTCAGGATTTGTTGTGACATGCGACAAATAAATGAAATGTGATGATCTTCCCACGAAGAAAACTTCAACGTCACGTCTCATGTCATAAGACATAATATTTGGCAAGCGTTATATTGCCTCCAATCCAATGTTGATCAATCAAAGCAAATGTCATAGCTTTTCTAAGTTTTCCTATGATGTTTTCTTAGTTGGAATAGGTAGATAAATCTCAGACAAAGATGAGAATAAGGTTTCATCTTCTATACGGGCAAAACCATAGCCTTGATGAATATCTTGATTAGAGATTGGTTATAGTTGACCAAGCTGGAGGTTAGACCTAACCTAACGTACACATTGAGTGACGAATTAATAGTTTATTGATATGCTACAGTAGACATATTATAGTACCTACCTTGTTTCTAATCATTGTATAATACTCAGAACTAAAACATTAAAAAAAAATTTATTGAAGCTTTGCCTTGTTATTGATCTTGATCGAAACCCTTGTTTGCATCCAAATTAACCATACGTTATAATATCATTGTTATAACGATTCATTATCTCTTATGTCATTTAAATTTAACCCACATCTTAACAATGAGCATAATCATTCTGAGTCATATGGCTTATAAGGCTCTTTGCTATGCTGGTGTGCTGTCATTATTGTATCGTAAATCTTCTATTTAAGTATGTTATATTCGATTTCCGTTTTCTAAACGGAAATTGACATCTAGTTATGAGCCATTCTGCTTGTGGTTATTATGGTTATTTGGTTCCCTGGTCTAGTCTCTAGTCAGACCCGCTTCTTTCGTTTCCAGTCACAACTCGGGTGGCATTCCTGTTTTGTACAGCAAAACTGCATTACAAGATATTTCAGAAAACTAGACATTTCCTACAGGATTTGGAGAATGTCCAGAAAATGCAAAGAATTATTGCAAACGAGAAAGTTTCGGGAATTTCAAGGATATTTCAATAATCCAGAAATTCAAGAGAATTCTGTAAATTCCAAAGAAATTGAGAACATTTCAAGGAAGTTTATTTATTCTCAAAAAAATCGATGAAAATTCAGTATGGTTTGAGGAGATCATGAAATTCACATTGAATCGTTCTGAAAAATTCTACAGCAGAACGAGATCGATCGGACTTATATACCTACCTACATACACGTAGACAAATGTGGGATCTGGACACAGATCAATCAATCTCTAATCTGTATTACGCGATTCAAGAAAGAGATAATTCGTGATAACCCAATATTAATCTTCATAGACATCCTTGGTTTCATTTCAAGTTACCTAATACTCACACCTATAGGCATATAGATAGATATTATGTGTGCGCATTCCTTACTAGTTATCAAAGGTGTGTTCGTTTTTCACAATCTGCAAACGCGAAGCCATTACAAATTATAAAAATCAACCAGTTTGATAAATAGAAATCCATTCCTTCAAGTGGTAGATATATAGTTATTATGGTATCTCATTACAAATATTATTATTCTTGGTTCAATAGTCGTCTCAGCGCAGATTGTGCTAAGCAAATCAACAGATGTCATTCGTAGAACAAACAATACTTATGTAAGATTAGATGAAAAAGAAGCCTTATGATATCAGCGGGTGACTATAAATAAATTTTATGTAATTAGTATTCGTCGCGATCGTCACAGAGATGTTTTATAGAAATTATCGTTCGCCGAAAACCTTAAACAGTTTTCGATAACGCTTACGACAATAAAAATTTAGTCGACTTGGCGATAATCAGTTATTGGTCGACTCGTCACGTCATCCATGTTAATATCCGAGCAATAATTGCAAGTTTATCGGTATTCGGCATTGTGTACAGCGAAATACGATTCAGAACGACAAATAGTACGCTAACAAGTGATTTACATAATATTATCTATTTCGCTGTAGAGTGATGTGACTGAATCGGTGCGAGATTTCGAATAATGTGGTCGAAGCAAGCGGATACTCGCAACACCAACAAAAACATGACATCATTCAAAAATAAGATAACCAACCGGAAACGGAAAAACTCCAAGTCGAGGACCGATGACAGCGTCGAGACAGATACCACGTCGAAGTCAAAACAGAACGAGGAAAAAGACAAACAGAGGCAACCGAAGTGTGGCAAAAATAGAGGTAGAAATCGCGGTAAAAAGGACGCCGAGACAGTGAATAAGAAACCAGTGCAGGAACCCAAAAACTCCGCTGAATCCAAACCGCCCAACGATGCCATCGAAAACGCAGATGTCGTCCTCAGACATCCTAACAAGGACAAGCCGAATCCGAGCAATAACTGTGTAAAACGGTACAGTGACAGTTTCGTGATCGATAAGAACGATAAAACCGATAAAAACCTGGGCGAGGATAGTGATCAAGTTGCTCCTGTGCTCACCAGAGCGGTCAGCGGCTTCTTCATCATCGACCAAGCCAGGAAGGCTAGACGTTTCAGCGACCTGTTCAAGCCTTCAGGCACCTTGAAACTCTCCAACAGCACCGAGTGTCTAAGGATGAACAACGAGCGAAACGTCAGCCAGCAAAAAGTCAACGATAAGGGTAAGCTCACCCACAAGCCTAGCCTCAATGCCAAAGGCGACGCTAACGCCAAGCGGAGCGCTAAGGTGGAGTCGCCTAAAGCTCAGCCGAAAAAGGAACCTCCCACAGGTTCCTATTTGAAGCGGGTGCGTTCGAAAATCTACAAGACTAAAGCCGATTCGGTTGCCAAAGACGAAGTGGACGCTACCTCCAAGTCTAGGAAGCTGAAACCGAAGAAAAGCTCAGAAGCCAGCGGGAGGATTCCCGAGGACGAAGTGGCAGTTTTGACCCCCAATGGCGTCCGGAAGTCCTTGACACACTTCGATTTCCGTTTGACCAGGCAAACCTCTAATTTGGAACGTGTCAGACCCAAGACCTCTGACTCTTCTTGCAATCACCTCGGTTCTAGCGACAAGCCGGTTTTGGCGAAGGCTAAATCCAGCAGCGCTATTAACTTGAGTTTGCTGCGGACCAGAAGGAACCAGATCATGGAGAAGGTGGCTTCGCGGATGGGGGCTAAAGATGTACAGAGTGAATTTGATTTCATCGCATTCGGGAGCGTGAATAATTTGACGCAGGACAGGTTGTACGGGTCGCAGACTAGTTTGCAGAGTATGCAGAAGCAGCCGAGCTGGTTGCACATCCACAGGGAGGAGAAGGAGGTCGACGAGAAAGGTATTGAAAAGTGAAGGGGGTTCTTGTTTTGTGTCTACCATACCTCTTGTCTGTACTTTTTTTGATTTGATGGTTCGCGAGCTATCTCCGACACATCAGTTTTAGTTTTTGAAGAGCATTCCCACAACATCTAAACTAAAATAGTTTCAAGGTCATGAGAAACATTTCTAACCTCCAGGAAAATATTGAGTACTAGAATGCGAGTAGAAATGTTTGCTTTATTGCTAATAATCATGTGATGACCTTGTAGCTTGCAAATTAAGGGAATTTATCTGTATTCACAGGGTTAACAACGGCAAAAAACTCAAATTCTTCTGTTTATCTGTTGCTGCTGATTAGAGTTCCTAAATGTACTTGACACTGATGTTTTTTTTGATACAAAAAACGTCAAAACAGCAGTGTCAAGTACATTTAGGAACTTCATTCACTTCATTCAACAGGTGAACCTTTCATTGGCATTTGAACAGAAATGGGTTTTTTAAACATCCCATATTACTCCATATTTGGCGTTTAATCCTTTTATACAGGGTGAAATGACATTTCGTGGGATAAATGCAGGTGCAAGGTTATAAAATCCCTTTTATTATGAACGATCTAGATTCTAGATTAATTAAAGCATATGGGGTATGAGTAGCAAGGGTGGTGGTAATTTACCTACTTATGTTTGTGTAGGAACAGACCAACTGTTTAATAACAGCTGTTTCTTCTCACCATAGACGTATACAGGGTTGAATTTTAGAGGGACAGGATGTATAAGTTGTTTGATCTTGGAAAGTAGACATAAGGGAGACATAATGATGTTTATTTGAAAAATTGATTGGGTTGGATCACGGCACACTTTTAGTGTATGATGACACTGAACATAAATGCTGGTCAGAGCAAGGAACTACAAGCTTACTAAAATAAAGTTCATTACTCAAAAAAAAATCTTTTGAAGCATGTCTTATTATGCCACTTGATTGGACAGAAACAAAAAATAATTTCGAACTGAGGTACTGACCTTGACGTTTCCATCTTATTATCGGGGGAAAATATGTTCACAATCGTACTGCCATCTAAATTCAGCCTCTATCGTTTTGGCAAAAAAAAATGTTGAAGAGTGGTTAGACTATCTCCCTTATAACATGCTCCAGTGATTAGGTGATATTCTTTCCGAGGTCAGCTACAGTTCCTGGAGGTCCTCCACGTGCAGCCGATCCGTTTGAATTTCAAATGGACCGGCAGAGCGCGGCGTATTATTCTTGATGGAGCTGCTCCAACTGACTATGGAAAGACTGATCTAGTGCAGGGTTGCGATGAGGAATTTCAATGAAGTGTACTAGATTGTGATGTGGAATTGTAATAAATCAGAGTAAATTGTAATAGATTGTGGAATGACGATAAAAATATTGTTATCCGCAGGGTTATGCGCAGGGTTATGCGTAAGATGTTATGCGCATGGGCTTAGAACACCAAATCTCCATTGTTTTCAGTAGAAAAATGGTTAACATGCGTATGTATGTACATGTTTATGCATTAGGGAGAATTCCTATTGGTGGAATTTTACAAGATGACCTTGGTTGGCCCAGGCGTCATAATGATCTTGGGAATCATCATATCAGATGTAGAAGTCGATCATTATAGTTCTATGGGAATTCGGCCACAAGCGAACTGTCATGACGAGGAAACGTGTCTTTTAGAAACTGAACATTAATGTTTTAAGATTGTGTTTCGATTTTCCAAATACCGACGATTTGGTTTTGGTCCACGTAAGAACACACTTGTGACGTCAGAAGCCCAAAACCTCCTGTCCTCTTCATAAGACGATATCGCGAATCTTGATTTTTTGGTAGTCTTTTTTTTTTATGGAGTTGAAATCAAATTCTAATATATTCGCTATGAATTTCAAATAGTAGTAATGACGTAATGAAGAATACTAAAATGTAATAGATCCATTATTATTGTACGAGCTATGTGATAGCAATCGAAACCCTGATCGAGTGTTCAAAATTCGGTACCTGCTTTCAAACCAATTTAGAATCGCATCGGCAATGACATGCACCAGGTGACAATGATTTATATAATCAAGGTGCTAAAACCGGAAACACTGGACACCTGCAACATCATTATTCGACTGTGGAACTATTTCTACTAAAACGAAATGTTCCCAGATTTAAGGTACATACATTTACATTATACAATGTTAAAACAGAGTCCGCACTTATAAATGTTCAGTATTTGTAGAATTAGATGAACTGATTGAATGTGCAACGTTCTGTAGTGGACAGATTCTAAAATACAGGGAGAAGTTACAAATTAGTAATCATTTTTTAATAATTTCACTCGGAATTTCAAGGTATCAAATGCTGTTTTCGTTTCGATAATATCAATGTACCACAACTCGGTACCATCATATCACTAAATATTATTCAGATCTGCTCAGATTATGTTAGATTATGTATGATTTGAAAAATCACCCTGTAGGAAATGTTTGAATTGTCTTTTATGATGAAATGAGAATTATTCATTGCATGTTTAAATTATTTTATCGATATTTCATTATTTCTTCAAATCACTCGAATGTATTTATTTTTTACTCTGAATAGCAACATCTGAACCATTGTAATAATAATTAGTGATATGAAGGTACCTTGAATAATAATTGAATAAGGCTTACCAATTTTTAACTCCAACACCATGTATTTCAAAATCAATTTCAAATAAAATTTCAGAAAATTTCGTCAGAACAAATTTTACCTATAAAGAGTGCAAAGTTCTTTTGTTTAAAATTGACCTTACTCAATCCCTTTTGTGTACCTCTCCTCAGATTTCTTTCTATCGTTATTCCTTTGCTTATTCAATAGAGTTGAGACATACAAAACACGGACAGTGCTTTTGAATCATTCGAGATCGGACTTTGCAAATTGGTGGGTAGTAAGTATAACAAATTGCTCATTAATTGACAAAACAATTCTTGTTCAACCACTTCCGGTTTCACAGGAATCTATCCCAACTTCTGATTCTTAAACGCGACACCCTGTATTTTATTCCTTAATCGGTTTGGGGTTATTATGACGAATTCAAAAATATCGATTTTTTAAGGTTATTTCAAACGATCATGAAGATATTTGGGTTCAAAATAATTTCCATATCGAAACTTCTTTCTCTGTCACACTCATTGAGCGAATGGAAACTTAAAAAGGGAATATCTTCGTATTCGTTGAAATAACCCTATCAAACCCGGTATCGTTGAATTCGTTCGAATACAGGGTGTCTCATTTAAAAATCAAAAGTTGGGGTCGTTTCTGGTGAAACCGGAAATGATGGAACATAATTTGTTTTGTCAAATGAGCACAATGGTATACTTGCTACCCACCAATTTTTAAGACTCGATCTCGAATGATTCTAAAGTTATAGCACTGGCCGTTTTTCGTGCACTTCCCTCGTCGGGTGAACAGCGGTCAAAATTGTGTACATCAAACATCAATTTCACAAAGAATTCCAAGGAATTTCAAGGAATTCCAATTGTTTGTACACCATAATTATGCCGCACTTTACACAAGGCATTTCAAGAAACTCCCAAGGAATTCCAGTTATTTGTACACCAGAATTATACCGCACTTCACTCAAAGAATTTCAAGGAAATCCAAAGAATTCCAAGGAAATCCAAAGAATTCATAGGAAATCCAAAGAATTCCAAGGAAATCCAAGGAATTCTAAGGAAATCCAAGGAATTTCAAGGAATTACAGTTGTTTGTAGCCCAGGAATATACCGCATTTCACCCAAAGAATTCCAAAGAATTCCGAAGAATTCCGAAGAATTCCAAATAATTCCAAAGAATTCCAAAGAAATCCAAGGAATTCCAAGGAAATCCAAGTAATTTCAAGGAATTCCAGTTGTTTGTACACGAGAATTATACCGCACTTCACTCAAAGAATTCCAAGGAAATTCAAAGAATTCCAAAGAAATCCGAGGAATTTCACGGAATTTCAAATAAATCCAATGGATTCCAAGGAAATCCAGGGAATTTCAAGGAATTTCAGTTGTTTGTACACCAAAATCCCACCGCGGTTAACCCCTCGACTACTCCTTATAGTTTCCCCTCGAGTTTCTCTTTGGAATTTTGTTGCTTCACAGGAGAGAGAGAAGGAGAAAGAGAATAATCTTCATTAGGGGAATACCCGGTAGGCCGACCGAAGTCTTTCGTTTTCCAAACATTCCATATACGACCTTCATTGTCTTCATTGACCGTTTCTCATTTGTTTCAGTGGACGTGAAACAAGGGCAGCCGGTGTCGAGAAGCGGCTCCGACAGACGGCCGGACGCCGTCCGAGAAGAGGCTGCCAAACACCACCCCCACCACCACCACCAGGAGGCCTCCGGCGGCGGTACGGAGGCGCCGCACGATGCGTCGGTCGAGAAGACCGAGGCGAACGCCATGGTTAGGTGAGTGGATACATACCAACTTTTTTTCGGGGAACTGGGGTAAAAAAAATAGATCTGGCAACACTGCGGAAATTTATGGCACGAATTCGTTTTGTGCAATAAAGTCGTGAAGCCATGTAAAATAGTTTTGATCTGACAACACTGCGGAAATTTTTGGCACGTTGAACATACGGGTGATTGACTATGGATTTCACGACTTCAACAGCTGATATCACGAAAACGAAAAAAGATATTTGAAATTTGGAAAAAGGTACTTGAATGAGATGTCATTTTCTTCTAGAAAATGTGTTCTCTACTTGATTTTATCATTTTATATACAGGGTTTCTGAGAGAAAAAATTTATATATGTATATTATCGCATATTTCGAAAGAGCTATCTTTCCTGATTTTGAAAATATATACTTTTCATATAATATTCTATCGAGGGCTTGACGAAACGGCATACCAACGTGAATACTAACGCTTCTACCACGCGGCACGCGGCTACCTGGCCTCCTGATATACCTCAATTAATATTTGAATCCCACTTTCCTGTAATATTCCATCTCTCGAGAGCAAATAGGATAAATACGCATCCATTTGAAAAAAAATATTTCACAAATCCTGTATATAAAATGATAAAATCAAGCAGAAAACACATTTTCTAGAAGGAAATGACATCTCATTCAAGTACCTTTCTCCAAATTTCAAGTATATTTTTTTCGTTTTCGAGATATCAGCTGTTGAAGTCGTGAAATCCATAGTCAATCACCCTGTACGTATGGGCTATTCCTAAACATAAATCAGGTAAATTCGAATCACGAACAGAAAAAATTTGTTAAACTGGGTAAAAAAGTGATCTGGCAACACTGTGGAACTCGGGAAATTCATTGCACGATTTCCGTTTGCGCCAAAGAAGTCGTGAAACTGGGTAAAACTTTTTTGACGTGCCAGCAACGCTGAAATTAATGGCACGAATTAATTTTTGTGCAAAAAAAAATCGTGAAACTAGGTAAACATTTTTGATCTGGTCTCGATTTAGGCAATGACGGTGAATTTAAATCACTTACATTGGTAAATTCGAATAATGAACAATGCGTCTGTGGACAAGACCGAGGCGAAAGCGATGGTGAGTGGATGTCGACTATTACATAATAAAAGTCGTGGAAATGGGTAAGAAAGATCTGGCTACACCGTGGAAATTCATGGCACTCATTCGTTTTGTGCGAGGAAAAAATCGTGAAACTTGGTAAACATTTTATGATCTGGCAACACCGCGGACATTTTTGGAACGTCGAACATCCTGAGCAATTTAGGCTCTAGGCGACTGAATTTAAGATCGCAGCGCCAAAGTGGTTGGTTGTGGAATTATATGAAAGTACATTGTTTTGAAATTTTTCAAATGTTGCTTAATTGTGTGTATTATATCAATTTTTTATAGTGATTTGAGCAGAGAAAACGGTTAATTTGTGTACTCTCGTGATTCGAGGAGGCTTTTCAGCAAATATTCGTTCAATAAGTATGTTTCACTACTGAAAATATATGAGATTCTCCCCAATTTGAGGTTACGTTAGTTTGCATTCCATTTCCATTCAGTAGTAAGATAAGTAAAATAAATATCAAAAAGTGGAGTGAATATGATGTTCACAAAGAAGGTATTTGAGATGTATGTATTGTCACCGAACAGAAAGTTTCTGTTTGGTGGTATTGTAGTCGATTTATCTACTTACATGGGTTGATGAAAGAAAAAAAGTCCTCGAATTTACCACATAAATTTCAATGATTGTCGAAAAAATCCAAAAAACTTAAAAGAATAAAAAAAAATTCCATGAACTTCAATAATTTTTAGAAATTTTAAAGGGTTTCAAGGACTTCAAAGTAATTGAAAATTATCCCAGATATAAATAATATTTCTTCTCATACCAATATCAACTATTCTCGAGAAATTCTAAAAATGACAGAACATTCCAGGAAATTCTGGTTAAAGATTCCCAATGAATTACAGAGTTATTTTTCACACGAAGTTTGAATTTATTCTAGAGTTACAGAGAATTTCATGGAATCCCTAAATAGTTAAATAGTATTGCTAATAATCAAATATTCGGAATTACAAACAGTTATATTTGTAAGATAGTAATTTGAAAATCGTCCTATATCGATCTGATTTTTGCATCCTATATAAAATTTTCGGTAGTCATGATTGACTATTGATCTATTTGAAATAGTTTTTGAATCGCTTTGCCGATTTCTTGAGAATCAATACCAATTAATGATACGCCACTGGTTGCCGACCTTCAACGTTGAAGTGAGATTCCTTGTTTTTTCTCTTTTTTTCGAATCTATGTACTTACTTATCATCCTAATCGGTAAACAACCATCGGTTCTAGGTCCAGAGGTCGATTCGAGCATACATGGTGTTTCAAATTAAAGTAATTCCAATTACCTACAACTACATCAATTTGCCCGTACTACAATGTTTCTTGATAAAACTCATATTTTTAATCATAGAAACGGGGAGAGAAAGTTCCAAGATAACTAAAGAAATGATTTGAATGAATTCGTAATCTGTAGTTCTAGGAGTTGTTATTTATAATGAAAGCAGTCACCCAATAAGGCAAAATAGGGTTTATCTTGTTCAGGGTTGGCATGAATTAATTCACATGAATTAAATCAGTGATTTAATTCGTGAATTAATTCCATTGACTTTTTTCGAAAAAGTCATGAATTCATTCAAATTTTTGAAAATGAGACGAATTGCCCTATTACCTCTGATTTTAACTAGTTTAAACTGAAAAATTCGATTGTATTTTAGTAAGGCTTTGTTATTTCAAGCATGACAGAGATTTTTACTAACAGATATATACAGTATCAAGTATCATCCATAAAGTCCATAACATATGAGAACAGGTTTATTATCACAGCATCGAATTTTTTTCTCTCGGCGATCCATTATGCATATCCGATAACTTGAAAATCGATTTTGACACATATCACGTGATCACTGGTATGGTGATAAATAAAAATAATACTATAAAGCGACGAAAAGTGAGGTTAGATAACAAAATATCCATAAACATTTCTTATTAAGTTGCTATTCCACATTCAGTTTCGAGCAATCTTTGGAGGAGAATTGGAAATAGCTATATTTTTTCGAATATTCTACAATTTTGTTACAATTCTCTTTTTTTTTTGACAGTGTGATGTTGAAATAGAATTCAATTTTATGCTCACATATGGACTTTCCAGCCATTATTTGTGAAAACTGAAAATAGCTATTTCTATTTCTTTAAAATAACTTCATCTTCCCATCTAAACACACTTTTAGCCATCGTAATTTTTTGAATTTACCGCCATACCAGTGACCAAGTGACATGTGTCAAAATCGACTTTCAAGTAGTCAGACATGCATAATAGATCCCCGAGAAAAAATGTTTCGATATTCTACTAATAAACTTTTTCTCCATGTGTTACGAACTTTATGGATGATACTGGATCTATATATGTATCTATTATTTTGTATTCTATCATCACTTTTAATTTTGTTTCGAAAAAATGACATGTTATATTATGATGTTATTCTACAAGATATGAAGGGAATGAAAACATAGTTTTTTTGTTTCTTTTTTTCTATTTCACTTTGGGTAAATGAAATTTGTTTGTTTTTTTTTTCAAATGAATTAATTCAAAAAAGTCTGACTTAATTCAAAAAGTCGGACTTTTATGACTTTTTTATAAAAGTCATGACTTATTCCAACCCTGATCTTGTTAGAATTAATCTACCATGTGCTTCCTTCTTTTTTCACCCTGTACCTTGTTTTCCATTAACACCATTCGGACCACAAAAAAGCGTTATATAGGAACTAGATTATTTTCTTTGGCACATAGATTCAATTTTGGGTTTCCGATGTTATTGAATAGGTCAGATGTCAAAAAGAAATTCTGTGTTCAACATAAATAATTTATTGACATGGGCGATAAGCCAAATATATTTCAAATTACCGTACTCATTGTATATACATTGTCGAATCCAAAGATAATCAGCAAAATTATTATGGCAGCAGTTCCATTCGGGATATGGCCAATTAAACTTTGATGTGATCATTGTGATCGCCGATAAGATAAATGCCTAAAAAGACAATCTATTCGCGCAATTCAATATAACCTATCTGAAATTTTTAGTGTGATAATCACATGGAATAGTGGGTTTTCTATAGTGTTGGAATATGTGGAGTGGCGATATTTTTGTGAAAGAACTTAAAAGGACTGTTCAGAAGTCTAGGTGCGTTGGCCAATTGACTGGGAAAAATCAAATTCCATTTGTTTTCGAACGCATAAAAAATATGGTGAATTTGAATTGTCTGAATGATAAATGCTTGTCCTGGTGGCTTCTATTTTTGATCACTTGTCTTTGTTTATAAAAACGATTCCACTCTAATGTACAGTCGTATTCAATAAAAAAGCGTACAAGTATGAAAAAGAGAGGATTTCGGGATCCTAGTTCTAGTTGTGTAAAACTGGCTCAGCCATTGCTTTGTGTTTTCGAGAACCTATGACAACTTCACTGTCAACATTTGGTGAATCATTTCTCTCTGTAATATGCTTGTACGCTTTATTTTTGAATGCGACTGTACATTGAAACATTATTTTAGAGGCTATTATGATGTACCCTGTGGAATAATTTCAAATTGCAATCGTAGTCAAATCACAAAATGAATCTTTATCGATTTTTCTTGAATATTCCTGATTTGATACAAACAGTGTTTTTCCATTGATTGAAATGCAAATCCAGTTCAGATTCAGTTATATCCTGTTTTATCCAATTCATATTAGTAGAAGAGAGATATTTTGCGAGAAATTAAGACTTGGTTCATTTTCAGAACTATACTGTATTTTAAATTGAAGAAAATCGCGTTTACTTTTTTCACTCATTTAACCTTATTATTCCCAGAGATTATTTATTCCAAAACAACAGATATATCCTTGATAACAGGGCATATATTAATAATTGTTGTTGATGAATAAACCAATAAAAGAGTTGAATAATAAAATTAATATAATTAAAAAAGTAGGGTGAAACTGCATTTATCATGCCATGGGTTTTTTTTCGAAATTTTTGTTCGGTACTTACGTATTTTTGTCTGAAAAACACGAATTCAATAATGAATATGTGAACAAACTACTATCCATCGAGATATTTCAAGAAAAAGTTCGAAAATTCGCCTTCTTTTTCCCCTTGTGTTGGATGCATTTGAAGCTACTTGCTCTTCTTATTTTGTCATTGGACACTTTATATACTCATGATTTACTTCAATGACACATTTTTATGTAGAAAATTCAACACGAAATATGATTTTTATGGCGAGTTTTTCATGTTTGGTGAACAAGCATACCAGATGACGGCCATTTGATCAATAGTCAATCCAAATACGAGATGTCAAATGTCAACAGATTGCTTTTGAATGACATTACACAAGCCATTATTTTAAATGATATTCTTCCTTCTTTAGACTTATATGATAGAAAATGAAAGTGTAGTACATTGTGATATACAGTATGATGCAAATGTATGGAATAAATTCATTTTAAAACAAGACGACTTCCGAAAAAAATCCAAAAACTAGACTTCAGAACTTTATTAATTGATGTATTTTTTTAAATAGACGACCCTTCGTTGTTCAATTCTCAGTAGCAGACCTCTGCAAGATTCAGTTAATCAAATGATAATCCATTTTAATTTCAATTTTCTCATGCAAAATTTTGACTGGATGATCAGTAGACCATTCAAACGAGGTGTCACATGACCCCTGTTTTTATTTGAAAAAATCGTTCATTACGTCATTACTCCAACACCGGTGACGTAACATCCCTCATATGGATATCATGAAATGAGGCTTCAAAAATGAAACCTCACGTGTTTTTGGAATTTTCTAAAATGTCGCCCATTTCTGAAATAATGAATTTATTCCATACATTTGCATCATACTGTATATAAATTGTCCAATGATGAAAAAAGGACAAATTGTTCTAAATGCGATCCAGAAGACAGGCGGAAAAGAAGGTGAAATTTGTAACTTAATAGTGAAATATCTCAATAAATATGTAGTTTGTTCACATTTTCATTATCAAATTCGTGTTTTTCAGACAAAAATTTGTAAGTACAAAAAAAATTCGAAAAAAAAACATCCCATGATAAATGCAGTTTTACCAAAAGTAGATAAGTGTTTCTAAGAATCCTATACATTTTATATGAAATTTATTTATGTTATTTTTTTGTGAATCCTATCTTCTTTAATTACTTTTCCAACTGGGAAACAATGTAATGTATAATCCTGATGAATGAATGAATACAAACCTGTATGTAATATGTAATATTGTAGACCACAAAGTTTCCTACAAAAAATCAATTCTCCAAGATATCGTTACTATACCGGGTGGCTACGGAAGTATTGCCTACGGAATATCTCAGTTATTGTATGAAGTAGGTTTGTGAAATTTGAGGCGTCGATATAATGACATAAGAGCTAGAATTTGAGCATATTGACATGTCAAAGTTAACTTCCGGTCTGACCGGAAGTAACATCAACTTTCTTATTTTAAATGGAAACCCTATCTTTTTTTCTTTTCGCTTTATTCAGCATTCAATTCCCTTTCTAATGACATATCACATGTTGGTATCTAACCAGAAACTAGGTCAGAAAAAAATTATTATTGAAATTCACCGAGTAGGCCGTGGAAGCAAAATAAAAGCCAAAAAATGACTTTCTATTATAGCATAAGAAAGAAATGGTTATGCTGAAAAGTACAGGCAAGAAAAAGTTGTATGTTCCTATTTAAGTTATGGACCTACAGAGTATTGTTTTTTTCCCAATTTTTCCAATATTTTTTTTGGCGGCTTTTTATAACGCCGACGAATGAAAATAAAATATCACAGTAGTAGCAACTGTTATCAAGTGACGTATGGTTTTCATAGCCAACTTTTCAATTTTTGGCTTTCATTTTGCTTCCACGGCCTACTCGGTGAATTTCAATAATAATTTTTTTCTGATCTAGTTTCTGGTTAGATACCAACTTGTGATATGTCATTAGAAAGGGAATTGAGTGCTGAATAAAGCGAAAAGAAAAAAAAATAGGGTTTCCATTTAGAATAAGAAAGTTGATGTTACTTCCGGTCAGACCGGAAGTTAACTTCGACATGTCAATATGCTCAAATCTAGCTCTTATGTCATTATATCTACGCTCCAAATTTCACAAACCTACTTCATACAATAACTTGAGATATTCCGTAGGCAATATTTCCGTAGCCACCCGGTATAAAAAACCGAGAATTATGTTGTGTCTCACAGACAACACAATGTAATGAAAATACTGAAGAATACTCAATCTCAATATTGACTACATTTTCCTATCTCCATTGTAGGCAACAGATTTTATTCCCGAGTTTTGTTTGCTCCAACCACAACATCCATCGTAAATTCTGTTTTTCTGTTTGCAGTAGTACAATTCTTCCTGCCGCCGGAAGCCAAAGGAAGGTAAACAGCAACATCAATAGATCGGAAAGCGTGAAAGAACAATCGGAAAAAGTGAGTAAATAATAATAAAAGCCTTTTGAAATGTCAACCCGACCGTGATAGATCGAACGCATAATAATATATATGTTCTATAAAAATTCACAAAAAATCACTAATTCCCGCTTAACAAATTTGAATGAATCATAGTATGCTCTAGAAATTCAAATCATTTTTTTGCAAATATGTGAAAGCGGTAGACTATGATGCTCATTCTGCTGAAGGACACATATTTGAAATCTTTTAGAATGTGAATCCTCTAAGGTTGCTTCAGGTATTTTGACATATTTCATTGTTTTATTAGGATCAAAATTATCAATGTGACTCGTGACAGTATTAATTTTGGTCCAAAATATTTTATATTTGATTGTGATAATGTATAAGTGAATCAATTCTTTCAATTAATTCAAGGAAATTTCAATTTTTCACCCAAGAGCTTTTTTTTTCTTCAAAGTAAACTTGACGTTTCGATGAGAAGTTTTTTGGGAATTAATTGAAAAAAAATGCAGTTTTTTTGTTCGAATTTTCTGAAGGCAACAAAACTCGAATTATAAATTTCAAGATCACTTCGACCCGAAGAAAAATGCCCGAGTATAATTCGGTAAGACAATTCAATGAATATCACTCAAAGACTCCCCGAATCGCGACATTTCCGTAGATTAGATATGTTTCTGACAATGCAAGATTGAGAAAAATAGACAAAAACGCCATCAACATTCGTTCACAATTCTGTTTTTTTTTTCATAATGACAAAATCACAGCGGCTATTGGATTTTTTTATACATGAGTTAAATTGTCAGTGCAAATATTTACAGATTATATTTTTTTGCTTTATTTATGTAGGATATTCTGAAGTGTCCGACATTGATTAAGAATCTATCAAATCTACACACAATGCTGTATTGTGTTTGGCAGTGCAATTAAAAATAATGTTGTATTCACTTGAAAACCCATTGAAAAATCACACATTAGTGTTCGATGTCTCCGGACTTTCAACCACTGACCTATAAGGACAATGTTACTTCTCAGTTTTACACTAAATTGAACTCCCGGTGACCGAATTGGAAATTAAATCGTACCATGCTGTTTCTGTGGTACCACTATGTTTTTCACTACTAGTTCATATTATTCTTTTAATATGGTGTTTCCTTCTTGAAAGATCAACTTCTTTGTGAATAGTTGATCTTGTCATTGAAAGTTGAAAGTAGCCAGATGAGTGACATTTCAAATGAGAAAAGAGCATTTCAGAAAGAATAGAAGATAATAGTTTTCTAATGCAATCGACTAAAAATCCATCCATGTACAATGTTTCACAATTAGCTCTTGAAATTGACGTTTCTCGTACCTTTATTGACTGAAACAACTATTGAGAGGAGTCACAATTATACAGGGTGATCTACGGTGGATGGCCTATTAGAATTATCTGAAGAACGAGAAGACAGAACTTTCTGAAAATTGGGATGCTTTGATAATTGAACATTCTCTATCCGTCTAAAATATTGTCATTCATACAGTGTTGCCACTTCTATATCTCTGTAATTATTCTTGCTATACCCCAAGTGTGCTCCAATTAAAATAACGAAGTTGCCAGTTGTTTCTGATAGAAGTGGCAATACTGTATCGATGAAAATATTTTAGACGGATAGAATTTTCTGCTTTTTGTTCTCCAGATACTTCTATAGGCCATCCACCGTGGATCACCCTGTATGATTTATACGACAATTTTTATTTTTCGTCCCTAGTTTTTCTATTTTGGAGGGAAAATAATAGAATTGTCAGATGAGACAGTTGATTTTCATTATTTAGTTCAGAAATTTATTAATTCACATTAACAGAATATTCACAACAATACAGAAGTGTGATTTTGGGAAAAATAACTTCGTGTTGGTGATATTTGAAATAACAGTGATTTTTTTGTGATGCCTCGAAGTAAAGATTTTCTGTATATTTCTAGTTATGCCAAACAAATTGTAAATCATACATGCGATTTTGGAAATGAAGATCAATCAATACATTTCAATTACCTAGAGTATCTGAGATACCGAATCGCCTAATGGTATTTGAACTCCGGATATTTGTGTAGGTAATAAATAATGTTCGTGTAACCTCGAATTACACACAAAAATACTGGATAATTGGCGATTCCCAATAAAAATGTGTTTACCTTTTTCCGAACTTCCATCATAAACAAACCTCGCTTTGGTTGGACCACGTGAACAAATAAGCACCAGACTATTCGTCGAAAGATTTGGGTGGTAGATGCGCAGAAATGAAAAAAACATAGAGCTAAATTAAGGAAACCATCGTTAAATATTAATTTATCAAACTACATCCAGGGTTGTTATGGAGGTCAACTCCATGTAATGTTTGCTAATAAAAACTTTCTCATTGCCAAAATAGATGAGGTAATATTATGCTGCATCCAGTTTGGCATTGCATAAATTCATAAATTCGGCGAATATTCATTAAGATCCTAGATCTAGGTAATAAATCATGTTTATTTCTTTTAGAGGAAGCAAAGGAGGAATATCAGCGATCCGTCGCACAACACTACAAGGTGAGTTTTTTTTCTTTGACGTACATATACATCGCAAATTGTATCGCCTTATAAGTGTGAGCAACTTGAAGTGGCTTCCATGGATCATAAAATTATGATAAGCACAAACTAGTTCACTTGCAGTTTCTACTATTACATATTACTATTGCTGATCTGATGATGAGTAATTCATTTTCGTTATTTTCCCCATTCAACTATTCTTTACTTCTTGTCTTTATAATTATTGCGTGCAAGATCTGTCAGATAACCTACCCTGGAGGTGAAACATGGAAACACAACCTCACTTTTCTTATTTGTTTACAGAGGATTGAAATAGTTTTTCACAATTATTTTGGAATACAAATCGTGTTTTTCGGCTATTCATTGATTCGCGCATGCCATCACTTGTGCTGTTGTACAATGCAAGAAATGCAGCAAGAGGCGAAGGAATCCGGTTGGTACATTATGATTTAAAAGTAAGTGCCTACTATAGTCACTCACATATAGTTTTCATTTTGAAATTTGGTAATTTCTCTGATTTCTCATCGGAATTCCTCCTGCAATAGGACCCAATAGAAATACTAGTGAAATTTCTAAAATGATGCAAGAAGATTGGATTCATGCAATCACACGGGAGGACTGGTCTGACATGCTGACGAAATATGATCGTGTGTGTTGTAGACATTGGCAGAATTAGCTTCAATTGCAGAAGTGGCAGAAGGAATTTTGATAAGAAATGACAAAATTTCATAATAAAAACTGTGGGATTACTATTTACCTAAATAAATCATATTCCTTCGTCTCTCGCTGCATCTTTTGTGCATTGTACAACAGCACAATGAGAAGGCATGCTTGAATTAATAAATAGCCCAAAAAACGCGATTTGTATGCCAAAATATTGTGAAAAACTATTTCGATCCTTTGATTTCTTTATAAACAAATAAAAAAGTGAGGTTGTGTTTCAATGTTGTACAGAAAAGTAAGGTTGTGTTTCAATGTTTTATCTCCAGGGTCGGTCATCGTGCACGCGACCTATTGTTGAAACATTCTTAAGATATGAAGTATCATTTTACTTATACAAGGTGTCCCAGAACAGAGTACCATAAATTCTACAGGGTGAACTAGAGACCAAAATATGCCGATTGAAATCAACTTAACTGACTTACCTCCATACGAGAATGCACCAGAGCGTGCCGTGAGAGTGCGATGAAGAACAATTTTATTCCCAAATTTTCTTCAATATTCCGAAATCCTCGAAAGGTACTGCTCTGAAATTCGTGGGGCAGTTCACTATAAAGCTTGTGCATTTAAAACATGTTGTACCAAGTCAATCAATATACAGAGAGTTAGGTATTTCGCATTCTCTTTGATAAAAAATAATGTAACTTTTTTGGAGTACGGCACTGGTATTTCAAAGAACTACAAAATCAATTATCTCACTTTTTTCTAACTGCAGTTTTTTTATTATTTCCCTTTATTTCCCTTGGTTTTCGAGATCAATAACAAACTATAGTAGATTGTTTCATTAGGATCAGAAGTGACACTTTTTTTGACAAGCGAATTTTGCATTTGCGAGGCGCCTCTAGCGAAGCCGAGCGAAAGCAAAATTTGCGAAGCACAGTCGTTTTTATTCCTATTAAAAAAACTATTCCCTCACATGAGTTGGTATGGAATATGCAATTATTAATATAAATTTTACGAATAAGTGCGATTCACCGATGATTTAAGCAGATTGAAAGCTCTTTAAATCCATAAAAAATATCCAGGGCCGTATTTAAAAAAAAAAAGTTGATGATGACAGCTCAAAGACTCGTTACACCAGAACAAAAAAAGTGGCAATGAAAATATGTCATTTGTTTTGTAATATCTATTCAAATAGAGTAATAAAAGACTGAGATGAGATCTCGAATTGTTTCAAAAATCTTTGAAAGATTCCGGAATTTCTCAAATTTCAAAAGTTACCGTTTACCAGATCCCAATGATGAGACTCGATTTCCAGCCACCCTATACTTATGCGTTAAAGCAGCATGACAAATACGTAATCAATCGCCTAGTTACAGACGATAATGATTTCTTTGAAACCTAGCCCATGATTGTCTAAACTCTAGATTAAAAACTTGCCGGTAATTGTAAATATTTTTGCAATTGGTATTGGTATAAAATAAAAAAATATCAAGTCGGTAGGTAAAATTTCTTTTTTTTTTTCACCAAAATGTTGAATCCGTTGATTCAGAATATCCATATTTAAATCCGAAGATTTATATATATAAACACTTATGTAAGGTAAACATTACTTGTTTTATTATTTCTTCGAAATTTCATCACTTTATTATCGTTCCAATAAATTATTGACGTGATCGATTAATAAACCTTGAAAATTGTTTGCCTTGTGGTTGAAAACATAAAATCGTGATTTTTCTTTACACCTTTTTATTCATTACTTGAATACTTTGTATCTGACCTTAGAGCTCGCATTGCTTGTATAGGTAGAACCGACTCACATTAATTTATTACTGATTGCTGTCCGTGGATCACGTGACATGCAACTTGCTTTTGCATATAAGGTCTGTTCGTTTGTGTTGCTGAACTTGCTAGAGTTGATTTTTTTTCCATAGTTGTCTCTGTTCATGGCATAATGTGAAAAGAGATAGTCAAAGAAGAAAATCAAGTTTAGCAGGTAGAGCAAACGCAAACGAACAGGCCTATAGATACTAGCTAGATGTAACTATCAATAACACTGAGTCTGTTCATGGAATTGTGAGTTGTAGAGACTTGATTTGCCATCAAGATTCAAATTATTGAAAAGGTTTTGCAAAAATAAGAACCACCATCAAGTAATAATTCCATTGGTAAAACTGGCTCGCACTGAGTGCATATTTTGTATTCCATTGGTAAAACTGGTGTCGGGTTTGGAATTCCATTGGAGAACTGGGTCACATAGTTTAGAGCTCAGTGCAGTTTTGAAAATGGCGGAAACATTGAATATGCATAGTTTTAAAACCCAATTAAGTGGCAATCTAATCATCATCATCAAGTAGTGATGAAAAGTTGGAGGTTTCAAGAAAATAAAGGAGATTACTTCCCAGAATTCATAATTTTTTGAGTGTTTTGCACTAATTCAATGATGAAGAGGTACTTATTGAAAAAAGTGTTCAAAATCATTTTCATGAAACATCTACTTTGTTTTTAATTGAAGTCAAGAAATAATTTCAGGATGCTGATAAGTTATCAACGTAAAAGGCATAGGTCGCGTGCAAGAACTGTCAGATGACCGACCCTGGAGGCAAAACATTGACACACGTCACTTTTCTTATTTGTTTACAAGTGATCGAGATAGTTTTTCACAATTATTTTGGCATAGGAATCGTATTTTTCTTCTATTCATCAATTCGCTCATGCCATCACATTGTGCCGTTGTAAAATGCACAAAAACTGCAGCGGAAGATGAAGGAATCCGGATGGTACATTATGATTTAAAAGTAAGTACCTACTATAGTCACTCACATATACACTCACTGGCAAAATAAACCGGCCACCAAAAAATTTGCCTAAATTGTTCAGCCTGTAACTTTTTTAATCCTTGTCCGATTTTTGTGAAATCTCGATCGAATCGTAGATTAATGTTCCGGAATGTTAGCCTGAATATAAATTTTTTGAAAAACTGATGACCTGATCATTATACAGGGAAAAACCAAAGTTACTCTTTCACCCTATACTTATCAACGCCTTGTGGCAAAATTGCGTGATTGAACATGGCTTCATTATGCTTCGGATTGAAGTGTGATCCCTTCTTAACACAAAAGTTTTTGATTCAAGTCAATATCTTATTCTTGAAAGAAGATACGAGTGTTTTAAGGAAGTATGGTGTTTTTCAACTTTTTTTTACCAAAAATCAGAACTCACATGAACTTAACGATTAACAACTTCAAGGATCATTATCACATATTTCTACCTCACTTTCTTAGCACTTACCGGAAAATCAATTACAAAAAACAAACAAGAAGCAGACCTGTAGTCAATAACGAGTATGCTCTCCTCGATATTGAATCACAGCATTCAACCGAAGTGGCATCGAATTGATCGAATTACTCAAGTAGCCTTGAAGAATTGCCTAAAATCCTCCTTGAAGGGCGAATCGTAGCTCGACAAGGCTGGGCGAAGGCGAATGAGCCTCTAGAGGTCACCCCTAAGATAGGTAGATATAGGTTCTGAATTATTGTTATTGAAAATTAAAAAAATCTATACTTTCTTGAAACACTTGTATCTTCTCTCAAAAAAGAGATATTGACGTTATTCAAGAACCGTTGTATGAAGAAGGAACAAAAGAGGATCATACTTCAATTTAAAACATGATGAAGCATTGAAGCAGAAGGATGGAGAATGGTTCTGAATTATTGTGAATAAAGAATCCATACTCTCTTGAAACACTTGTATCTTCCTTTGAAAAATGGTTATCGACGTGAATAAAAAACCATAATGTAGAGAAGAGATCACTTTTCAATCTAAAACATAATGAAGCTGAGTTAAACCAGTCACCTTTCCCACAGGGGGTTAAGAAGTTAAGGGTGCAAATATAACTTTTGTTTCTCCCTGTATAATGATCGAGTCATCAGATTTTCTTAGGAACTAATATTTGTGCTAACATTTGGAAACATGCGATCTGCGATGTGGTCGGAATTTCACCAAAATCGGACCAGAATTGAGAAAGTTACAGAGCAAACAATTTGGCTAAATTATTTGGTGGCCGGTTTTCTTTGCCGGTGAGTGTAGTTTTCATTTTTGGAATTTGGTTATTTCTCTGATTTCTCATCGGAATTCCTTCTGCAATAAGAGCTAATAGAAATATACCTGAAATTTCTAGAATAATGCAAGAAGATTGGATTCATGCAATCAATCGGGAGGACTGGTCTGACATGCTGACGAATCTGACGATCGTGTGTGTTGTAGACATTTTCAATCTATTAGCAGTATTAGCTTGTATTGCAGAAGTGGCAGAAGGCATTTTAATAAGGAATGACAAC